CCCAGTACTAGAGTTAGGCAATCAATCTGTTGCAGGAAGTAATTATCCAGATCAGGATTTATCGGTAATCCTGTGCAAGGGATATGTATATGACCAGAGAACTCTTAGAAATCAGATCAGACTAGAAGTGAGAGTGCTAGTCAGTGTGAGTGTTGTGGAACCACTCAGAGCAAGGGTGGTGAACCTTCTCTGAGCAAGTGCTGTGAACCTATTCAGAGTAAGGGTGGTGAACCTACTGACGGTACCACTGAGTGGTAAGCCGACGTCAGGTTGGTCACGTGACTGGCGGAGACGTCAGTAACTAAACTAGTAACTGGCGCTCCAACTAGTAGTTTCCCACTACGTGAAAACACTTAATATAGACTAACAAAACATAATATAATAAAATATTAGCATTAATATTAGCATTAACATATATATTATAATAAAAAGGAGCACATCCTATTATAAAATATAACGGGTATGGCCATCCTCTTAACACTAGCCCCTTGCTCCCGGCATTTTAGTCGCCTCTTACAACACGCATGGCTTATGGAGGAAGAATTCTGTTTCACTTCCCCATGGAGATAAGAGGAAATAAACAAGAACAAGAACTAAAAAGAAAACAGAAGAAAACCCATAAGGGTGTGTATATATAAGCTTGTACATGTATGTGTGGTGTGACCTAAGTGTAAGAATAAGTAGCAAGACATACCTGAAATCTTGCATGTTTATGAGACAGAAAAAAGACACCAGCAATCCTACCATCATGTAAAACAAATACAGTGGACCCTCACCATACGATGGCATCACCTTACCTTAAATCCACCATACGATACATTTTAACGCAAAAATTTTGCCTCACCTTACGCTAAAAAACTCAGCTTACGCGATTCGTTCGAGACGTGTCCATGTGGCCTGAGCGTGCGTCAGCTGTCCCATGGGTGCCAGTGTTTACAAGCCAGTCATTGTCATCGCATCCACGCATACAATCGGAACATTTCATATTATCACAGCGTTTTTAGTGATTGTACCTGCAAAGTCACCATGGGCCCCAAGAAAGCTTCTACTGCCAACCGTGTGGTAAAAAAGGTGAAAATTACTATGGAAATGAAGAAAGAGATAATTGCTATGTACGAAAGTGGAGTGAGTGTCTCGGAGCTGGCCAGGTTGTATACCAAACCTCAATCAACCATCGCTACTATTGTGGCCAACAAAACGGCAATCAAGGAAGGTGTTCTTGCAAAAGGTGCAAGTTTGTTTTTGAAACAGAGATCGCAAGTACTCGAAGATGCTGAGAGACTGTTATTAGTGTGGATAAACGAAAAACAGATAGCAGGAAATAACATCTCTCAAGCGATCATATGTAAAAAGGGTGGGAAATATGTACTATCGTACCACGGTCAGCTGCTGCTGCACCACGGACAGCTGTTGCTGCACCACCATCAGCTGTTGCTGCACCACAGTCAGCTGCTGCTGCACCACAGTCAGCTGCTGCTGAACCACGGTCAGCTGCTGCTGCACCCCAGTCACCTGTTGCTGAACCACAGTCAGCTGCTGCTGCACCACAGTCAGCTGCTGCTGCACCATCAGCTGTTGCTGCACCATGGTCAGCTGCTGCTGAACCACAGTCAGCTGTTGCTGAACCATGGTCAGCTGTTGCTGCACCAGTCAGCTGTTGCTAAACCATGGTCAGCTGCTGTTGCACCACGGTCAGCTGCTGCTGCTACACCACCGTCAGCTGCTGCTGCACCACGGTCAGCTGTTGCTGCACCAGTCAGCTGTTGCTGAACCACGGTGAGCTGCTGCTGAACCACGGTGAGCTGCTGCTGCACCATGGTCAGCTGCTGCAGCACCATGGTCAGCTGCTGCTGCACCACAGTTAGCTGTTGCTGAACCATGGTCAGCTGTTGCTGCACCAGTCAGCTGTTGCTGAACCACGGTGAGCTGCTGCTGCACCACGGCGAGCTGCTGCTGCACCACGGTCAGCTGCTGCTGCACCACGGTCAGCTGCTGCTGCACCACAGTCAGCTGCTGCTGCACCACCATCAGCTGTTTCTGACCAACATGACTCGTCCCAAACCTGTCCATCCAGCCCTGCCGTCATTGTTTACAAGCCAGGGTGGCCAGTTGCATGCATACATTCGATACATTTTGTATTATTCCATTGTTTATAATGCTTGCAACTGCTAAATAAGCCACCATGGGCCCAAAGAAAGCTTCTAGTGCCAACCCTGTTTTAAAAAGGATGAGAAATATGTACTATCATACCACGGTCAGCTGCTGCTGCACCACCATCAGCTGTTGCTGCACCACGGTCGGCTGTTGCTGCACCATGGTCAGCTGTTGTTGCTGCACCACAGTCAGCTGTTGCTGCACCACAGTCAGCTGTTGATGCACCAGTCAGCTGTTGCTGAACCACGGTCAGCTGCTGTTGCACCACAGTCAGCTGCTGCTGCACCACGGTCAGCTGCTGCTGCACTACGGTCAGCTGCTGCTACACCACCGTCAGCTGTTGCTGCACCACGGTCAGCTGTTGCTGCACCAGTCAGCTGTTGCTGAACCACGGTGAGCTGCTGTTGCACCACGGTCAGCTGTTGCTGCACCACGGTCAGCTGTTGCTGCACCACAGTCAGCTGGTTCAAGTGGCATTAAAAGAAGAAGGGAAGTAACCCTGGAAAAGGACGTGCTACCTAAAGTCCTAATGAAGGGGATTCCCCTTCTAAACATTAACAACTTCCACACTCTCCCCTCCTCCCATCCCATCAATCATCACCAGATCTTCAATAAAGGTAAGTGCCAGTTTGTGTGTATTAAAATTAATATTTCATGTGGTAAAAATTTTTTTTTTCATACTTTGTGGTGTCTTGCATGGATTAATTTGATTTCCATTATTTCTTATGGGGAAAATTAATTCACCTTACGATAATTTCAGCATACGATGAGCTTTCAGGAACGGATTAATATCGTATGGTGAGGGTCCACTGTACAGGCTTTCGTTTTACACTCATTTGGCAGGACGGTAGTACAGTGGACCCCCGCATAATGATATTAATCTGTTCATGAGAGCTCATTGTTATGCGAAATTATCGTTATGCGAATGAATTTTCCCCATAAGAAATAATGGAAATCAAATTAATCTGTGCAAGACACCCAAAAGTATGAAAAAAAAAATTTTACCACATGAAATACACTTTTTCCTACACACAAAGAGAAGGATACATGCACAATAGTAGAGTAGTACATGCACAGTATATATTGTGCATGTACTACTCTACTAAATGAAGAATAAATGACACTTACCTTTATTGAAGATGCAGCAATGACTGATGAGACACTGTGTCCTGGGAGTGCCTTTTCCTCCTGAGTACTGTAGGTCCTGTTTGGCATTTTCTTCCAGAACAGGCCTTATCACACTGTGTATGCCACTACGATTCTTAAATCTCTCAAACCAACCTTTGCTGGCTTTAAATTCACCAATATGAGCACTAGTTCCAGGCGTTTTTTCCCTGTTCACCTGGGTGTTAGTCGACTGGTGTGGGTTGCATCCTGGGAGACAAGATTAAGGACCCCAATGGAAATAAGTTAGACAGTCGTCGATGACACACTTTTTTGGGTTATCCTGGGTGGCTAACCCTCTGGGGTTAATTGTTTCTTGGTATTCTCAATAAGCCACACCAACAACGGTGCTACAGCAGCAGCAGCAGCAGCAGCAGCAGCTGACAGTGCTACAGCAGCAGCAGCAGCAGCAGCAGCAGCTGACAGTGCTACAGCAGCAGCAGCTGACAGTGCTGCAGCAGCAGCAGCTGACAGTGCTACAGCAGCAGCAGACGATGCTACAGCAGCAGCAGACGGTACTACAGCAGCAGCAGCAGCAGACGGTACTACAGCAGCAGCAGCAGCAGACGGTACTACAGCAGCAGCAGCAGCAGACGGTACTACAGCAGCAGCAGCAGCAGCAGCTGATGGTGGTACAGCAGTAACAGCAGCTGACAGTGCTACAGCAGCACCAGCAGCTGACAGTGCTATAGCAGCAGCAGACAATGCTACAGCAGCAGCAGACAGTACAACAGCAGCAGCAGCAGCAGCTGACGGTGGTACAGCAGCAGCAGCAGCTGACGGTGCTACAGCAGCAGCAGCAGCTGACAGTGCAGAAGCAGCTGACAGTGCTACAGCAGCAGCAGACGATGCTACAGCAGCAGCAGACGATGCTACAGCAGCAGCAGACGATGCTACAGCAGCAGCAGACGGTACTACAGCAGCATCAGCAGCAGACATTACTACAGCAGCAGCAGCAGCAGCAGCTGATGGTGGTACAGCAGCAGCTGACGGTAGTACAGCAGCAGCTGACGGTAGTACAGCAGCAGCAGCAGCTGATGGTGCTACAGCAGCAGCAGCAGCAGCAGCTGACAGTGCTACAGCAGCAGCAGTTGACCATGGTACCACAGTATTTCGATAATATTTCTCACCCTTTTTACCACAGGGTTGGCACTAGAAGCTTTCTTGGGGCCCATGGTCACTTATTTTGCAGATAAAATCACCAAAAACACTGTAATAATACGAAATGTTACGATTGTATGCTTGGATGTTACCGCGGAGGCTGGCTTGTAAACAATGCCACCGGCGGAACATGTGAGGCTGGCTCAGGCCGCACATTAGATGCGTCTCGGACGAATAGCGTTGAGCGGGTTTTTTAGCGGTATGCGAGGCAAAATCTTAGCAATAAAATGTATCAGTATGCAGATTTAACGTTATGTAAGGCCAACGGTATGCGGGGGTCCACTGTACCTCCCTGGGCGGTTGCTGTCTACCAACCTATTACCCATCATCATCATCATCATCATCATCAATCATCATCAATCATCATCATCATCATCATCATCATCATCATCATCATCATATTATTATTATTATTATTATTATTATTATTATTATAAGACAATCTCCTGTACTAGAGTTATGGTGCTGATGTCTTGTAAGAGAGGTTTCCATGGACAACATAACAGTGTGTGTGTACTAACCTTGGAGTGGTCAATCTGGCTCTCATGCTTCTCCACTTTCTCAATATGGTCCCATCCCAGGGCAGTTTTGTCTTGCCGGTCTTTCTGCACACCATACTTCCCTCCAAACCCAACAACATAATCTGATAAATGAAACAGTAATATTATTATATTCTTGGAAAAAAATTATTCCATTTTTAATTAATTTAACAAAATAAAGATATGCAAATGTGAAATTACATATACAGTGTCAGCAAAAATAATTCAGACCTGCCCTTTATTTAACAAAAATCATTAAAAAGAAGCAACATAAATATTACAGAACAGAAACTGTATTACGTATTACTAACATTAATATTCTATCATCTCCCCCTTGGCCTTGATGACCCGTGGAAGCCAGTTGGTTATGCTTTCACTCAGATTCCTGAAGTAATCAATGGACAACTGCTTGACCCTAAAGTCCTTGATCTCCTACTGCAGGCATGATATGGATGAAGTATAACATCAAATATGCAATATGATGCTGGATTGCTTTATGCTGTTTATAACAGAGGCAGGTCCAGATTATTATTACCTGTCACAAGGCCAGGTCAGACAAACGTCATTAAAAGCTTTTTTCTCCTATGTGCAGGTTATTTGTGTATTGTAGCCAAGTAGCTTGCTGAGAAAAACACTGAGGTTTTACAGTGGGCAGGGAATAGCCCAGACCTCAATGCTATTGAGAATGCTTGGAGAATCATGAAAAGGAAGATGAAATCCTGCCACATATCATCCATGTCATACCTGAGGCAGTCGATCAGGACATTTGGGTCAACCAGTTATCCATTGATTACCTCAGGAATCTGAGTGAAATTATGACCAAATGGCTTCAAGTAGTCATCAAGGCCAAGGGGGAGATGACAAAATATTAATGTAAGAAAGAAGTATGACAGTTTTAGTTCCATAATCTTTTTATTGTTCATTTTAAATGCTTTTCCTAATAATAAAGCATAGGTCTGGATTATTTTTGCAGGCACTGTAAATAATGGTAAGGAGGTGTTTGTTGTATTTATGGACCTAGAGAAGGCATATGATAAGGTGTATCAATAGGAAGCTATATGGCAGATGTTACAAATGTATGGAATAGGAGGTTGGCTACTCAAAGCAGTTAAGAGTTTTAATGGAGTGAGTGAGACTCAGGTTAGGTTATGTAGGGAAGAGAGAGACTATTTTCCAGTGAGATTAAGACTTTAAAAGGGATGTGTGATGTCACCTTGCTTAACATTTATAGATGGGGATTTAAAAGAAGTAAATGGTAGGGTGTTGGAAAGAGATTGGGAACTGAAAAATGTTGAATCTGATACAAATTGGGAGCTGTCACAATTGCTCTTTGCTGATGGTAAAGTTCTTTTGGCCGATTCTGAAAACAAGTTGCAAACATTTGTGGATGAATTTGGGATTGTATATAAAAGAAGAAAATCAAAAGTGAATATAGAAAAGAGCAAGGTAATGATGGTAATAAGAAGTCTAGGCAATGATCGATTAAATATCACATTAGAAGGAGAGAGTATGGAGGAAGTGGATGTATTGTGGACATGTGAGCAGGTGGATCTATGAAAGGTGAGGTGAACCATAGAACAGATAAAGAGGAAAGAGGTGGGAGGAGTGTTGAGGCATCTGTAGAAAGAAAAGTTTATCAATGGATGCAAAAAAAAAAAAGGGAATGTACCAAAGTATAGTAATCACCAATACTTTAATATGGGTGAGGCATGGGATGTGATCACTGCAGCAAGGAGGAAACTAAGAAGTTGGAGATGTCATCTTTAGAGCAATGTCTGGTGTGGATATAAAGCAAAGAATTAAGGACGTAGATATTGAAATCAACGTGGGGTTAACAAGGATATAATCCAGAGGTGAGGAGGAGTTGTTGAGGTTGTTTGAGCAAGCAGAGAGAATAGAGGGGGATAGGCTGACAAAGAGGGTATATCAATCTGTGATGGAATACAGGAGGGAGAAGATGGCTTATTCTAGAAACAGAGAGGGAGAGGGTAACAGAATCTTTGAGTTTCAGGGGTTTGGACATCCAGCAGGTGTGAGTGAGCTGGTTTGAGCAAGGTCACTTTAGGAAGGGATTCAAGGAAACTGGCTAGCAAGACTTGAGCCCTGGAGGTGGGAAGGGCAGTACCTTAACTCTAAAGGAAGGGATGGGATGTTGCAGTGCCTGTAACCTGAAGGTGAGGTGGGGATGTTGTAGTCAAAGAGTACACTGACTGTGATGTCAGTACAACTCTGGCAAGACAGTGACCGAGTGACCTTGTCTGGGTCATGCTGCCTTGGCAATAAATGGCCACTAAGGTAAAAAATATATATAGTGTGTATGTACGTATATTTATGTGTAAACAGCATATGTATTGAAATACCAACTTACTATTTAAGAGAGAAAAACAGTGAAACTCAAACACACAAAAACACAGATAATGAGTAAAAAAAAAAATGGTTTTGAATGTGATAATGAATTACAGGAAGATTAATGATTCACCTTTCTGGCTCTCATGTTTCTCCACCTTCTCAATATGGTCCCAGCCTGCAGCACACTTATCCTGCCTATCACTCTGCACACCAAATTTACCGCCAAAGCCCTGAGAGTAATCTGCATAAAGAAAATGTTGGCTGGAGCATTTTGGCAAAACATTTTAAAGCATAAGAAGCATTTATGATTGTAATGTATAGTGTGTGTGTGTATGAATGTGGTAAAGAGTATGTGTAAGTTTGTGTTTCTTCCATATGGTCATTGTAACAAGAAACATCTACTGAATACTTTTTTGTAATTTGTCTATATTTTATACTTCATGTATGTGATTACTTTTTTTTTACCCATTATATAGTATTATTATTGTACTGACAAGATATCATTTAGCACTAGAGAATGGGAGGTAATCAGGTTCAATGTAATGCTACAGTAGCTCCAACTGACTGAATCAAGAGCCTTTTAATGGGTGCAGAACTAATGGTATACCTTATTCAGTATATTATCATAAAATTTGATCAAGATAGCAGTGGTTGTATCACTTCCTCTTACAAACCATTACACTGATCTACCACTCTCTTAACACTATTATGTCTTTACTTCTTCTTTATTATCTGATACTTATGGCCACTTGTTCTGCTACTTTGTGATGTCAATCATCTTTCAATATTCTTTATCCTTTTAATAATTTTGAGTGTGTTTTTCTTTTCATATATCAACTAGATTGCATATCTAATGCACTTGCTTTAACCCAGACTGTTTCTAGCTTAACCTGCCATTTTTAGTAGTTGAGACAACGCACACCACTAATGTTGGTGTAACGTGTGTGGTGAGAAGCTGCTGTATCACTCATCCCAGTATTTAACTAATATGTTAACCCCTTGACTGTCACAACCCCCAATCCTGAGGTGTCTCCTGGTGTCGCAAAATTTCAAAAAAAAACAAAAACAAAAAAAATTCTTATGAAATGATAGAGAATCTTTTCCCGATTGTAATGACACCAAAAATGCGAAATTTGATGGGAAACTGATGGAATTATGCTCTCGCGAAGGTAGCGACCTCGGCGATATTTACAAATCGGCGATTTTGCCCAATTTGAGCCCTATTTTCGGCTAATTCCATTGTTCCAGTCTACCAAACTCATAGCTATTTCTTTAGAACTCCATTTTTTCTATCGATTGATTACAAGAAACTGCCCATTTACAGATCTCAACTACCCAATAACGTGTTAAGAAATTTGCAATTTCGCCAATTTCATGAAAATTAAAAAATAAGACAATTTCAAAATAAGGACCAGAATGAACAATGCAGACATTCCCGGCTCTAAAATAACATTTTCTTTGTTCATCAGTCATGTCTCCAGGCCCCTGTGATATTACTCTTGCTTTCTATTTTTAATTTTTATTCAAACAAAAAATAGAAGATTTACTGTTATGCAGACTACTGCAATACTGTAATAATTGTATAAATAACATCAACCCATTCATGACTGCATATTAGAATGGCTAGTTGGACATTTATTGGACAATGACATCATTTGTTTACTTTTGAACATCGGCAAAAATCAAACATTTCCCGTACTTTGAGCTCCATTTCCAGGTTCCTTTTATGGTAAAATCAATCAAAATCACCTCTATTTCTATAACATATTTTCCATTCTATCAAATGAGACCAAGAAAACGAGAATACAACCATAAATACTACACAAAAATAGACCACAATGTCAGCATTTTAATTAAAAAAAACAGAGTTTTTTTTTTCTCATTATGCACTGTGTGCTCCAGGATTTTTTTTATATGGTGCACACTGACCACACAGACCCATCCCCTCACATGTGGGCCTACCAGCTTTCTCCCGCTTGATTTGAAGCCGCTAGAATTTATGAGTATGCAGTGGACCCCCGCCTAACGATCAGCTCCCAACTCAACCAATTATGTAAGTGTATTTTTGTAAGTGCTTTTGTAGGTGTATTTTTGGGGGTGTGAAACGGACTAATCTAATTCACAATATTTCTTATGGGAACAAATTCGGTCTATAACGGCACCCAAACAGACTTCTGGATTGAACTAATATCGTTAGGCGGGGGTCCACTGTATATATATCAAACACAGTACAGTGGTCCCTCGTTTTTCGTAGTTCTCGGGAATCATAGATTTTGGAAATCTTAGGGATATTTTCGTATAAACATGGGCTCGCTAATCATAGGTTGACTCACGAATAGTAGTTCATCCGAGACGCGCACGCACGGTGTGAGCCGGGGCGGCCTCCCTACCCAGCCAGTCTGGCATTGTTTACCAGTGAGCGAAGGTCCCCTAACGTGCTCCTACGAAATACTGTATTTCATAATATTCCACTCATTTTAGGGCTTGTAAGTACTAAATAAGCTACCATGGCTCCAAAGAAAGCTCCTAGTGCCAAGCCTGTGGTAAAGAAGACCTCACCACTGAGGAGCTGCAAGAGCTTCAGCAGGAACAGCAACAGATCGCAGCTCAGAATCTTGCTGCAGAGGAGGAGGAAGAGAGATGGAAGAAAGTGCCTTCTTCAGAAATTAAAGAGATTTTTGCTATGTGGGGTAAGATGGAAAGCTTTATGGAGAAACATCACCCTGACAAGGTTGTTGCAAGCCATGTTGGCAACATGTACAGTGACAAAGTCTTGGGCCATTTTAGGGAAGTGTTAAGAGACGCCAGTTATTTTGCGAGACAGGACTCCAGTGACTCTCAAGGTGGTCCTAGTGGCATTAAGAAACAGAGAAGACAAGCAACCCCAGAAAAGCAATTGGTACCTGAGGTGTTGATGGAAGGGGATTCCCCTTCCAAACTGTAAACAGTCCAATCTCTCTCCACCTCCAGTCTCCCATACACTAAGAAGAATCTCCAATAAAGGTAAGTGTTATGCTGTTAATGTTTCATTCATCATTTCCCATTGTATTGTTTATGTACTACATGTATATTTCATGTAAAAAATTTTTTGGTTTTAATACTTCTGGGAGTCAGTGGAGGCGGGAACCATACATAGTTTTAAGGTGAGGTTTGATAAAGCTCATGGAGCAGGGCGAGAGAGGACCTAGTAGCAATCAGTGAAGAGGTGGGGCCAGGAGCTATGACTCAACCCCTGCAACCACAAATAGGCGAGTACAAATAGGTGAGCACACACACACACACACACACGACATCTGCCTAGGACACAATCGTAACTAACACACACACAACACAAGCTTCCAGAAGATAATAATAGCAGTTCTACGAAAGTATCCAGCGACTATATATGTGTATATATATTGGCAGTTTGGAGGGATATGTTGTGTATCTTTATACATATATGCTTCTAAACTGTTGTATTCTGAGCACCTCTGCAAAAACAGTGATAATGTGTGAGTGTGGTGAAAGTGTTGAATGATGCTGAAAATATTTTCTTTTTGGGGATTTTCTTTCTTTTTTGGGTCACCCTGCCTCGGTGGGAGAGACGGCCGACTTGTTGAAAAAAAAAAAAAATATATTATAGAAACCAGAAGGAAGGAAGGGAGGAAAGAATGAAGAAAGCAAGAAAGAATGAAGAAAGAAAGAAAAAGAAAGAAAGAAAGAATGGTAGGTAGTCACAAAGGAGATGGGGAGGAAGCCATGGGACTCCATGGGTGATGACAGGCAGTAAAATATCATTCTGACAGCTGCCACACGCTGACTCAGCATATTTTGGAGTCCCCCCCCCCACACACAAGCTGAGTCTCAACCCTTGCAACCACAATTAGGTGAGTACAACACAAGCTTCCAGAAGATAATAGCAGTTCTGTGAAAGTGTCCAGTGACTATATATGTGTACAGTGGACCCCCGGTATTCGATGGCATCGGTATCCGATAAATCTGGTATTCGATGCATTTTAACGCAAAAATTTTGTCTCGGTATCCGATCGAAAACCCGGTATTCGATGCGGTTCCTACGAGACATGTCCACGTGTGGCCTGAACTGTCCCGTGTGTGCCAGTGTTTACAAGCCAGGCAGTGTGCGCGTATCTAAGGATACATTTGGTACATTCCATATTATTACTGTTTTTGGTGCGTGTTTCTGCAAAATCAGTCACCATGGGCCCCAAGAAAGCTTCTAGTGCCAACCCTGTGGTAAAAAGGGTGAGAATTAGTATGGAAATTAAGAAAGATTTTGAAGGGTTTGGGGCTAACTCTGAGAAGCCTATGCCAGTTGTGAAATCCATTGTGCCTACTTCAAAAATTAAGGAAATGTGTGCAAAGTGGGTTGAACTGCAAACCTTTATGGATGAAAATCACCCTAACACAGCTATTGCAAGCCGTGCTGGTGACTATTACAATGACAATGTTGTGGCCCATTTTAGACAAATCTTAAAGGAACGAGAGGTACAGAGCTCTATGGACAGATTTGTTGTGCGACCTAGGTCCAGTGACTCTCAAGCTAGTCCTAGTGGCATTAAAAGAAGAAGGGAAGTAACCCTGGAAAAGGACTTGCTACCTCAAGTCCTAATGGAAGGGGACTGCCCTTCTAAACAGTAGCAACTCGACACTCTCCCCTCCCATCCCATCAATCATCACCAGATCTTCATTAAAGGTAAGTGTCAATTATTATATTGTTATTATTCTATTGTTATTGTTGTTATTGTAATTATTCTATTGCATTAAACTTAATATTTCATGTGGTAAAATTTTTTTTTTCATACTTTTGGGTGTCTTGCACAGATTAATTTTATTTCCATTATTTCTTATGGGGAAAATTGATTCGCTTTTCAATATTTTCGGTATTCGATGAGCTCTCAGAAACGGATTAATATCGAATACTGGGGGTCCACTGTATATATATTATAGAAACCAGAAGGAAGGGAGGAAAGAATGAAGAAAGAATGAAAAAAGAAAGAATGAAGAAAGAATAAAGAAAAAAGAATGAAGAAAGAATGAAGAATGAAGAGAGAATGAATAAAGAATGAAGAAAAAAGAATGAAGAAAGAAAGAATGAAAGAAATAACGAAGAAAGAAAGAAAGAAAGAAAGATAGGTAGGTAGGTAGGAATGATGACACATGACCATTTACCCAGGATAACTACCTAACACAACTGCCTGATAACTTTCAAGAAAACTGCTCAGACGAGGTGTTTTGTCTGTG